GCAGGAGGAGCAGAACTTAAGGCAAAATGAGGCATGCTCTAGCGTATTGGAGAGCAGGGAGGGAAGAGCAGAAAGGTGGCAGGGGAGCAGGGCTTAAGAGGCAAATGGAAGGTGGAGGGCATCAGGGCAGCACTGAGTGATACTGGTGCAGAGCCATCCTGAGGCATTACTACTTTGGAAGAGCTTTCTGCTCCTTTGTTTCTTTCCACATCCCCAAGACTCGCTTCTCACCAGGGGAAAAAAACCCAAAAAACAAAAAAACATAAAAGTCAAACTAACAGAAAAAAGAGAAATTATGACTGGCAAAGCAGGAAAATGAATGGCATCAAGCACAGCAAAGCACTGTCACGGCCCAGAGCTCCATCCTGTAATAAGTGAGTGGCCCAAATGTCAAAAGGGTTAGGGCATTCCCTGCTGACACAGACAGGCTCCTGAGAGGGAGCCCTCATTTATGGCATGCTGGAATGGGAGAGGGGGAGAAGGAAACAAGGTGGAAGATAGCTGAGAAGTAAATTGATTTACATTTAAATGTTATGTTTTTATGACTTTTTTCCCACTCCATGTGAAATCTCATCCTTTAAATTAGACAAACCAGGGTAAACTATTTTTTATAGTGTGAAAAAAAAAATGATTGACATTCTGAGGTAATACTTTTTAAATTCCTCCAATTAAACAAAGCGAATTTAATTTTAAGTTTAATTAAAAGGAAATTTAATTAGAAAGAAGATTAAATTTTAATTAAATTTCTCCAAAATCCTTATCCTTTCCTTTACTGCTAATATTTCTCTCGGAACCAAATCCCTTTTTAATATTCTTAAATTCTATTCTAGTAAACTTCCCCTTTATATTAAAATTATATCTGCCTGGATGTTCTCGCTACCAGAGGAAAAAAAAAAATCATTGCCCCTTTTAAAATACTTGAAGAGTACACCTGAGACACAGAGTAACTCAAGAGCGACCAGTGGAACATTTGGATATGCTCTGAGTGCGACACCACTAAATTAACCCTCCTCCTACTCAACACTCTGCAGGCAGGGAAGCATCTGTGTTTCACCAGACAGTCCTTTCCTGCGTGCAGCTCTCTGCTGCTCAGCACACCCATGATGTCTGTACCGCTCAGCATTTTCCATGCTCTGCTTGTGCATCCAGTTTTCTTCTCATCTGCTGAGAGTTTTTTGGGTGGGTTTTATGCTCTATTGTTTGCTTTACTATGTTATATTTGGGGGTTTTTCATATAATGGTTTGGTTTGGAAGGAACCTTAATGATCATCCAGTTAACATCCCTCTGCCATAGGCAGGGACACCTTCCACTATCCCTGGTTGCTCCAAGCCCAATCCAACCTGACCTTGGACACTTCCAGGGATGGGGCAGCCAGAGCTTCTCTGGGCAACCTGTGCCAGGGCCTCACCACCTTCACAGCCAAGAATTTCCTCCTAATATCCCATCTCTCCCTGCCCTCTTTCAGCTGTTCCACTGTGTCCTATCATTGAGGACCCATGTCAGAACTCCCTCTCCAGGTGTCTGGAGCCTCTTTTGGCACTGGAAGAGGCTCTGAGGTCTCCCTGGAGTCTTCTCTTCTTTGCTCCGGGCGGAACAGCTGCAGTTCTCTCATCTGCTCTCTCTTCCATTTGCTCTAGTCTGCTGGAGAGATTTGGCTCACTCAAATGGTCTGAGCACATGCACCCATGATGGACTGAGTCGATACTGCCCTTGCTTGTCTCACATTCCTGTAATATCAACTCCAGTCTCCATAGCAGACAAAACTGTCTCTTGCCATAATGCTTCTGGAAAGGCTTGCAAGACTCTACTTGCAGGAGGCAGCTAAAGCACCAATGCATCCACTTTCCACCAGACTGTCCCCCTGAATCTCTTAGTATGCATCTCCTGTGCACAACCCCACTGCTGTGCAACAGCAGGGACTGCACACCACCCAGCAGATGCAGACTGGAGGCAGCGATAGCAGGACAATGCTTGTCCTGAGCCATGCTCTCTCACTTTCAATTTTGTTCTTTTTCCAGCTAAGGCAACCATGTCCCATTGCAACAAAGAGGTGAAAGGTGAGCTGGACGTGCTGGGAAGCGGACAGGCAGGATGGCACTTAGTGTGACTTTCCAGAGCATCCCTGTCAATCATCCCCCGATACCAAAGTCAAGTAAGCTGTCACAGGCTCTGTCCACCCATGACCCCACAGCCCAGCAGTCTGGTGGCTCCAGCACAGGGTCACAGCGCAGCAAAGCTGCTGTGAAACTGCGTCAGCCTGAGGTGTGTGCTGGGGCCAAAGGGTGGGAGGATGAGGAGGATGCCAGCCAGCACTGGCCCTTGAACCTTGTTCAGGGTTTCTGTCCCCAGGACCTTCCACACTCATTATGAGTATGTGACCCATTGTCCCTGAGAACAACCCATGTTTATTTTAGTACGTTGCCATGGTGACCACTAGTTTTGCCAATGGATACTGACTTGCAAAGCATCGTTATTTGTGTAGTTACTCTTACATGTAAAAACTCTCCTGCTGGACTCACATGCTATCTGCCTGCCCCAGCATCCCTTATTTAACAGGAGTCAGGACCAGGCACTTCAGAAATTCCATAAAAGGCCATTTACAAAATCCTGACTGTAGATGAGGCTTTGTCTACACACCTATCAACTAGAAGAGTCACACACCCACTTAAAAAAAATACTGCAAATGCCTATGTCCATGAAACCAAATATTTTTCCTTTTTTTTCTATTGTTGTTGTTGCTGTTTTTTGGACAACAACCTGCATAAAATGCAACTTTTCTGCTGAAATTAAAGCAGTTTAACATTGGAAGGGCATCCAAATAAGATGCAACATCCCTGCTGATACTAAAGAGGAGTTCCCAGGAGATGCTGTGTGTGCAAGGGCAGTCCCAACTGCCTCACTTGCAACAGAGCTATCACTGTCCCACATACCACACTCTGCATCTTTAGAAATACTCTAACCTGCCTACTTTGTCAACTTCTCTTCTAGTAGTCAACATTTCTGAGGTCAGTCAGGTTGTTCCTGAACAGCAGTCTTGGGGTTTTGGGGGGTTATTTTTTTATTAGATAATATTTTTCTGTTCCCTTACCCTAAAGTCATCTATTTTGTCCGTGAGAGCATTGTGCTCACCTTTTGATCTTCATGCTCTCCATGTCTCTCTCCCACACACTGCAAAAGTCAGCAGGAGCTGATCTTTCTCCTCACCAGCTGTCCAACCTGGCTGGGGTTTCTGAACAGAGGAATTATTGCCTTGTGGGACTTTTCTTTTTGTCTTCCCTATCTATCTTAAAAATAAACATGGACCAAATGACAAAAATTCGTACATTGCCAGTCTGTGCTGCAGGCAGTTACACAGTTACAGTGATTGGAAAACACATGGAACGGGGATTGATTAAAATATGGTGGGCCAATGGCATTATGCATCTTATTTCTTTCACAGATGCAGTCCTAAAAGTATTCTAGGACAGGCTTGAGAACATGGTGATAATATTTTATTTATAGTGATTAAATCGTTAACATGATGAAAATTTATATTCTTGTTTCTGTGTGCCACTGCTCATTTCCAAAATCTCTCTTTTGGGCGGGAGATATTTTTATTACTAGCTTCACTTTCAGTAGGATCAACACAGATGAGGTCTAATAGGCAATGCTAAGATATAAATAGGAATGGAAACAGGCAAAGAAAATAACATTACCACATTTTTTAAGTGAGAAACTGAGGTATAGAGAAATCAGCTGTGGGTACCAACTACCTGAAAGTGGCCTCTCCAGTTAATTTAAAGAGTTCCACAAAATTCATCTGGAAAATATGCTGCAAAACAGAATTCTACCTTGATTTGCAGAGTCCTAGATTGCTAACTCAAGAAAAAATAATCCAATTTTCTTAAATGCAAAAACAAAACTAAGAGTTAGGACATTTTTACTGCCAATGTAAATACTTGTATAAATATGATATCATCTAGATTATTAAATATAACTCTGTCTAGATATGTTGGATAAAATCATGACACTATGATTCAAAAATGCAGCAGAAGAAGATGGCAGATGTTTGTGCTATTCACCCTATTGGATGCTCTTTCTGAGAACATTTTCTGGGCCATTTACAAAATTTTTACCCAGTGGGTTTTGTGACACTGATCTGGAAACTCTTCACATGTGGGTGTTTTGTCATGGTAAGCTGTGTCTCATGATGGCTTGCTGTTTGAGAAGGTAAGACTTTGAAACAAATCACAAAAACAGACCTAAAACTGAAAATAAAAGCCCAAGAGCATAGTACTGTCTCCATTTAGTGGAGCTGGACTTTTTCAGGTGATATACCTAACCTGTGGATCAGAATTTGTCTGCAGAGGAGAAGGGATACAGGCAGCGCTGGACTGCATCAAGTCAGTGGTCAGTCTGATTCAGTATGTCACCTGGAAGGGACCAAGGAGGCATCAGAAGAAGGTTCAAGACATTTCTCTCATGAGAGAACTTTCCTGCTTTCCCACAGAAGGTTAAGGTCTTCTCAATCCTGGATGTATAAGGATTTATTTCCTTTCTCTTGCTCCTGTTGAAAGAAAACTGTTCTTTACTGTTTAGAGTATTCTGCAGACTATCTGGTGAGTAAGGAGCTTTCATCACATAGACACAAAAATAGAGAGAGTTTTATGGGGTGTGTTTCATTCCCGTTGGGTGCCCACCAGCCATGACTACTGCCCTTTGGGCCACACAATCAACCTCCTCACTCATGAAGATAAATGTCGTATCAGCCCTGCAGTAAGCCATCATCTATTCTTGAGAAACAAAGAGAGTATATAGCATGACCTTCCTTGAAATATTGGATCTATTTACACGGGTTTGCGTGGACCACATTACTTATGAGTCACCAAGGGGAAACTGAGCTCCTTGTAGATAAAGCGATCAGTGCAAACCACTGTAAATAAATCTGAAATTTCTATGAAGGTCGCACTGTGTCTGATTTATACTTCAGCACCCGATGAAATAATGTTGACCAGGTAAGTGGTTTTCAATTATTTTTTTTTATTCACATAAGAAAAGGAAAAAAAGAAAAAAACCCAAAACAATCCCTTTTTTGTAGACTAAGGGACTGCTCTATTTTAAAGTGCATCTGGTTAGAGATGACACATGCCCAGGAAGTAAGTTATTGTCTGGCATAAGGCTAAATGTTCCTGGATCTGATTCTGCCACCCTAACTAACTGGGATGACTTGAATGGGCATACAGGGCAGAGAAACTCAGCAGTAGCCACAGATGATCCTTAGACAGTTTGAAACTCCATTTTTTCCTGATTAATTTATACCTTTGTTTTCTTTGTTAACCCCAGTATAGGTCAAGCCTGAGTGAAACTTTTGTATCATTAAAGCAGGAGCTATCATAAGCACAGGCGTTTGGTCTTGCAAGGTAAGAAATTCTCCAGGGGCCATACTATTGGAGTGGAAGTCAGGAATGCTGCTTTTATCATTAATCTGCTTTGTGACCAGTTTCACTCTCCCTTCCAGCTTTCATCTGATCTGTCTGTTAAAGCAGGTGAGCCCTTGGTATTGGAGGAGTCTAATTAATGCAATTAGGAGTAATAATATGAGAACTCCATTTTAGGTTCAGGGATATTGATAGGTTTTCTATTTGCTGTCCATAATGTCACTGAAAGGTAAAAATGGTACTAGTAAATGAACTTGATCTCCTTGTATGTCCTTCTGAGCTCCAAAATGCACATTTTAGTGTTCTAAGGAGGGTGAAATAAAAACTATTTTAGAGCACCTAAGCTTAGCACGGGAGGAAAAATATTTTGAGAAGTACAGCAAGGTTGAACTTGCTGGGACTGTTATTCATTCTCACAGAAATAAGTTTTACTTAACACAGTAGAAAGTCAAGATTCAGGAAGACTGAGGGTTTTCAGAGACGCTAAGCAGCCTTGGTGATCACAGCAGATGAACTTCAAATCTGGCAAGGACAATGATGCTCTCTGGAAAAAGAGAAAAGTTGGAGTTACTTCATGACTCTCCTACAATCTCAGGGAAACATGCCTTCATTAAAATTTCCTGGAAAATATACCCAGCACTCAAACTTCAGCTCAGTTTTTAAAGTTCTTAATAAAATGGTCTGAGTTAGAAGCTGATCTGAAGAACAGTCTTCCAGGGAGTTTGGCTACAATAAGGTTTTTATAAACCAGACTGAGATTTTAAAAATAAATTGGTTAATTTAAATCTGACTGGGACCAGCCTTTTGCCAGCCTCAGCAGTTCTGCCACACCTCAGGACCTTTTATCAAATCTATGCCTCAGCAAATTTAAATGCTAGTTTAACTGCTGTTGTTAGTTAAATGACAGTTAATTACATCCTTGTAGCTCAGATTAATTGCTTTAGCATATGAGTAGCTTACACATTGGACAGGATGTATCTGAAATGTCTCTGGGAAAGCTGAGTCAGAGCAGCAGCATTCTCTTCACTGTGAAACCACCTTTCTGCCCCACCAAGGGCAAACCTGAGCACCCGTCAGCCCTCCAGTGCCATCCGCAGGTACAGGAGGTGCCAGCTGGGCTGGTCACTGCCTTCCAGGGAAAGGATTGAGAAGAGCCTCATGGCACACTGAACTAGCAAAAGCAATGGAACAAGTTCCCTGAAGAGGTGGTGGATGCCACATCCCTTGAAATGCTCAAGGTTAGGTTGGATGGGGCTCTGAGTGCCTGGTCTAGATGAAGATGTCTCTGATCATTGCAGAGGTGTTGGACTAGATGACCTCTAAAGGGCCCTTCCGACCCAAATTATGCTGTGATTCTATAGGATTGCAGACTAAAAAATTCTTAAAGTAGAATGCTCACATTAAACAGGTGGGGTTTTTTTTTGCTGCTATAATTAACACCATTATGATTGTGTCAGTTCTTCTCACAAGTACCAGACAGGAAGAAACCCCAAGTTGTCCCAGTCTCTGTGTAAATTCCAATCCACATCCTAGAAAACTGCCACTTAAACTTTACAGTTAAATTACATCGAGTGATTGCTATTTAATTTGAGAGTAATGGCTTTAAAGTAATTGCACTGCAAAACCATCTATGCAAAATATTAATTCATATTCTTATTTATTTCATGTGTCAGTTGGTTTTGCTGCCTTCTCTTCATCCGGTTTATCAATAGTCTGGCGACCCTCAAAGACCATTTGAGAAGTGGTACAACCTTGGCAAGGGCTAAATCCTAGCAGAAGACTCTCTGAAACTCACTGTAAAGCTCTCCCATTCTGTTGCTCCACAGAACCTGCTTCACCATCTGCCTCGCGAATTAGATTTTTTGTTGCTGTATTTCACAGATTTAAAAATATGGTTATTATGATCCATAAACCAGCTTTCACAGAGATTATTAATTAAGTCCCAAATATTGTACTGACGTGCTTTGTGAAATATATCTCCAACGTCAGAGCACTGCTGCTGTTATGACCCATCTGCATAATATTATCTCAGAGTGCTTAAAGGCCCCAAGTTTTGCGTTTGCTGCAGGGGAAGGGGGAGTTTTGTTTTGTTATCCCTTGTAGCAGTTCAAGAAGTAAAACCTGGAGCCTTAAAGTCAGGTGGGTGAGATAAATTGAAACGGATCTTATTGCTCCCAAACACTCTCCTGGAAACAATGGCATCTTGACATTTTATCAGTCACTCATGCGGTCATTCTCAGCGGTATCAGCCAGAGCTTGAAGGATAGAGCCGTAAAGAAAGGATTGTCAGCCATAAACATTCCTCAAAACCATGAAAGCCACAAATGAAAGCTTAAGTAATGGAGGACGGAATACCCTTGATATTTCAACAATTACCTGCAACAACAGGCTTTGTTCAGAGCCCAGGCCATTTTTTTAAAAGCCTTTAGTTGTCATGGCCAGAATAGGATAGGGAGGGGGAAACAAAAAAAAAAAAAAAAAAAAGAGAAAAAAAAAAAGAAAAAAAGCAAAAGAAAGAACAAGAAGGAGAAAAAGAGAAGGATTAAAAGCTCTGCTGTGAAAAGATAAACTTGAGTGGCTGCAAATATAAGGAAGTTTATGGAAATGTTTCAGTTTTTAAAAAATCAAGACTTATTGCTAGATATTAGAATTATTAGGCTGGGAGCAAGATACTTTTTTTTTTTTGGTAGTTTTTTTTCCTGAGAGATCATTAGAAAAACATTCATGCTGCTGAGCTGTTACCTCTCTGGTCATTTCTGATGTCAAATTACAGAAGAAAAAAAATTACACTTGCAAGCACATGGCAAATTGAAGGAGCTTCAGTAACAGGCAGAAGCGAGCAAGTGGAAAAACAAAAGTGAATTCAACTTCATTACACTTCAAGAAAAATACCATATTTATGTGCAGGATTTAAAAAAAAGGAATAAAATCCAGTTTTAAATAGTCTTTGTGCCAATATTTTAGCAATTTAGAGCTCATCGAAAGAAAGCAAAATGTAGTGCTTGGTATCTAAGTCAACCCAAACTCTGGAGGCAGTAAACATGAAAGGTTAAATGCTCTAGAAATTGCATTTGTAGAGTTTCTCAACTTAGGAGATTAATAGTTACTCAAAGCAATGGATAAATATTAGTAAAGGACCATTAGCAGGGAAAAACACATCAGTGAATCAGAGCTCCCCAGCTTATCAGATCAATTTTAAACAGGTTTATCTTGGACTTTTCCAGCACCTTAATGAGGAACAAATTGGTTTTTTACCACTTTTTGTTTCCTGAGATTTTGTTGATTTTTTTGTTGTTTGGTATATCCAACCATTAATACAACTGGGTCAGTGGCATAAGAGTGTTAATTCCCTCTCCTTGCAGGTTCCTGAATGCCATAATTTAACGAAAGTTCCCTTTTATTACTCTGCTTATGGTCACCAAAAATTTAAGAACAAATATCTATTGTTTAATGTTTCCTACAGAGGAAGAAGAGATCAAGTAACAAATGTAAACAAACCCAGAAGCAGGAGACTAGCTATTTTTTCCTTTTATACATATACATATATATCCATAGACAACAATAGGAACAGCTAAGATGAAACTTGTAAACTAGCATGACTAAGCCTGTGGCCAGAAAAAAAAATCATATCCTCTGTTTACAAACAAATATTGAACCAGGCACTTGAATAGGAAAGCTCTGTTTTACCTTTTAGATCTCTGTGAAGTTTTAAAAAACAAAAATAAAACCAAAAAAAACAAGCCAGCCAAACAAAAACCACAAAAACAAATTTAAAAAAAAAAGAGAGTGATGGAGAGTGATATTTAAAATACAGTCCTTGCTAAAGCAACAGAATGCGCTCATTATACTTTATTAATGGCAGAGCAGAGAGCACAGCAAGCACTCTCTGTTTAACTGCTCACTTGCTCATGCAGAAACCTGAGTTCATTCAAAATGCTCCAGGACATGCCTGTGGCCCCTCACTGTCATTCCAAAAAAAAAAAAAAAACAGGTCCCCATAAATCCCAGAACATTTCTGACATGGTGATGTGGATCTCTTAAACACCCAAGATTGTCTCAGATGATTCAAAACACCCAGGGGAAAGAAAGTGGAATTAACTTAGAGAGCTAAACCATCTAAGACACAGAGATATCTGCCTCTGGGCCAAGCATCTCGTTGACTATTGACTTCTGTGGGCTTCAAATGACATTTGGCACCTAAGTGCTTCTGCAGAGCTGACTACAGGATCTTTTTCCCTAGGGTACCTCTGTCTGGAGTTCATAACATTGCTCTGCAACCTGAGGGCTGGGTTTCGTTCCTGACCAGTTGAGTAAATCTTGATGATCCAATACCCACCTCTGCTTTCAGTTGGCATTGTATGAGCTTGGGGTATTTAAATTGCTGCCTGCAAGGCTGAATTTCTCTGTGCCTCTGTAAACAGAGCCCAAACTCCTTTGGACACTGTCAAAGGCTGAGGTAACAGATTAGTGTCCACAGCCTTTGAATACAGTTTGTCATTTTAGAAGGGTGCTGGAAGCTGCTTATGCCCTGAGGTGTCTATGAGATGGAAACTAGTTACCTTGTGGACCTGTAAAACTTCCCCTCACCTCCACTTGGGACATTTGTATGTCTCCTGGAGGAGGAACATCATGTAATCCACTTCTACCCATGGACTTCACAGACCAGGAACAGCTGCTCATTCTCGTCCTTGGCCATATAAACCTGGCAGGATCCTGCAAAAGTCTTAGTTTACATAAAGCATAACTTTTCACAAAAAATCCTAAAAGGTTTCCACATCAGCAGTTTGTTTTATACACAATTTTGATGTAGAAGGTCTAACAGGATAATTCGGAAATCTGTTTACACCAATTGCAGCTGACAAACAGATGAAGGTGCCATTATACATTTTTCTTATAATCAGCATTGTCTGAGTTCTGTAAAGAATGATGTTAGGAAGTTTAGAAGTTTTCTAAACTGGATTCCTTTCGGATTCATATATTCATCCCATTTTCATGACAAAAAACATTTTTTTCTGTGAATACTTCATGTTTTTATAGGGGAAAAAGCAGAGTTATCATGAGGTTAAATGTTGAAGTAGAGGTCTGAGCAAGTTGAAATACAAAGCAACACTTCTACTTCCTCCAATGAAATATGCATTTCATCTTCCATGAAGACTTGTTTCTTGCTAGTCTCTGTCAGCAGGAGCCATCAACATAACAGTGTTTTGCTGACCTGTGAAAGAGCTTCTAGTAACCACTACTCAAGAGCTCCATTAGGATGGAATCATTTAAGCTGATTCTGTAACAATGCGAAACTTTTGTAAAATGAGGTTAGGAGGTTGATGCATTTTATATAACCAAATGCAACCATTTTGGGCCTGAACTTGTGAGCTGCTGAATAGTCTCAGCTTCCATTAACGTCACAGACATGCTCAGCATTTTATGAGATCAATATCAATGAAATCTAAAATCTTAAGATAATGTTTTAGTTACAGTAATAGCAGTGAAAGTGCATAGGAATTTGAAGGCATTTCCAAAATAAAAGAAACAAAACCCATAGCATGT